AAGGCAGGAGGGGACAGGAAACCTGGTGATAGGGAACCCAAGGTTGAGAAGGGACAGTGTTGACATGTCATGGGGTTGTTAACCATTGTCATAGGGTAATATGTGTACTAACTGTTTCATGAGAAACTGTTTGTTCTGTAAACTTCCATCTAAGTACAAAAAAAAAAAAGAATTATCTATGTGAGATAAAATTGACAACAGCAGCTCAAAAGATTTGATGGGAAGCCTAGGGGGCAGTGAGTTGAAGGTAATGGTGATGGAAAAATTTGGAAAAGGTTAGTGAGAATAGCAGCACAACTAGAAGAACATAATCAATGTCACTGAATTGTACATGTAGAAATTTTTGAAATGGTGTAACTTTGGCTGTGTTTATTTTCACCAAAAAAAAAAAAGGTCCTCCAAGGTTGAGAAAGGAGAGTGTTGGCATGTCATGGGGTTGTTAACCAATGTCATAAAACAATATGTGTACTGACTGTTCAATGAGAAACTATTTGTTCTGTAAAGCTTCATCTAAAGTACAATAAAAATAATTAAAAAAAGAAAATCACCATGTAATTCTCTTTTACCCCATCAACTAAAACATATTATTAGTTCTACATGGAAGATTTTATAGACAATCTAAGCAATAAAATCAATTCAGATAAAACTTAATTCTGGGGAATATAAAGTCTTAACAATGATGATTTCATTTTCTTTAGTTGTTTACCAGTTGCCATCAAGTCAATTCTGACTCCTGGCAACCCCATGGCTATCAGAACAGAACTGTGCTCCATAGGGTTTTCAATGGATGATTTTTTTTTTTTAAATTGCCGGGTCTTTTTTTCCGAGGTGCCTCTAGGTGGGCACCAACCTCCAACCAAGCACATTAATCATTTGCACCGCCCGAGGACTACAGTTGTTTACAGTTTACCCCATTTAAGAGTCATAGTTGGTATTCTATTTGGTACTCTGCTCATTAGTTGATGGAAAATATAATCATATAAACACAGAGGAAGATTAGAATATTAGTTATTTTGTGTACAATTTTTCTTATGCCCTACAAGCATGTAGGTTTTTTTGTTTTTTTTCTTTAATTCTAAAACAAGTCGATTTGGTACAATTCTAAATTTCAAATATAAGGAGCCCTGGAGGTGCATCCATTAATATTAACATAAACATATAATCTAACTTTCTTTTTTTTTTTTTTTGGCAGAAGTCTTATCACGAAACTTAGTCTTTAGGTCATCAGCAAGAGCTTCGGAGGCATTCTGACCATTATCTTTATTTGTGTTTACAACAGGAATACATCAAAGCCAGGACTGGTTTAATTCGTTGGATTGGACTGTCCCGCCAGAACTCTAATGGGGTCTGGACATGGGAAGATGGCTCAGTTTTCTCCAAAAATCTGTAAGTCACTGGACATTCAGAACACAAGGCACTAATAGTGATTTTTGTTCCTGGATCCCCTTCCTCTTGAGTGCAAGTTCCTGATAAGTTGAGAGGAGCTCTATACCTTAACTGTGGTTATGTAAACAGCAGCTGAGTCACTCACGCCCTACTCCTGATAAAAGAGCAAGGGTAACAAAACAACCCTACCTTTCCCACACACTCATCCTTCTCTTTATCTAAACCACAATTCACATGTATTCCTCATTTTCTTCCCAACCATTTCTGCCCTCAACTTTATCTTTGAGACATTTTACGTTTCTGTTTTTCCTTTCTCGATTGTCTTCATGTATTTTTAGAACAAAATTATTATTCTCATTATCTTATGACGGAAAATTATTGCCTTGGAGGTCCGTTTAACTTTTCAGCATCATTTGCCAACTTTTCCATCCTAGGCATCTCCGAGAATCAGACATCTTGTAGTTCACAGGGAAATTTTAATGTTCATGTAATGTAGCTCCATTCTGCTAGAGACAATCCAGCCAAAGGGGCCAATTCCATTAGGACGGTCGCTATGAGTCAGAATCGACTCGACGGCAATGGGTTTGGTTTTTGGTTTAATATGGCTTTCCTGAGCCCTAGTGGCACAGTGGTTAAGAGCTCAGCTGCTAACCAAAAGATTGGCAGTTCAAATCCACCAGCCATTCCTTGGAAACCCTATGGAGCAGTCCTACTGTGTCCTACAGGGTCGCTATGAGTAGGAATCTACTCAACGGAAATGGTTTTTTTTTTTTTTTAAATATGGCTTTCCAATCTCATCACCTTCTATTCATCCTACATAAGAAAACTGCAATGTCTCTCTAATTCAAATATAAACATAATGAAAACTTATAAATCTGATAATGACTTAAATTATTAACTAATTTATTCACCAAATATTTATTATTTACTGCGGGTCAGGAGCCTAGGATCACAAGCAAGCCTCTTTACAGATCTTGGACTTTATCGCTTCTCACTTGTTACCGCTTTCACAACATTTTAGGCAAACTGGCCTTGCTTCTGTTTATCAACAAGTCAGTCTTGCTTAGTTGTCTTGGGGCTTTTGTACTTGCTGTTCCCTCCGCCTAGAACGCTCTGCCTCCAGAACGCCATGACTGTCTCCCTTTGTCACTCAAGCCTCTGTTTAAACATCATTTGCCAGTGAGAGCAACTCTAATCTCTCAAATTAAATTAGTCTCCCTGGTCCCTACTCCAGTCAAGGTCTAGCATATCATACTCTTGTTTCTTTGTCAGTTTTGCCAATTCTCTGATGTTATTTCATCTGTTTATTTGTTGGCTTTTTATCGAAATCTCCCCCTCTATAATGTAAGCTCCCCAAGAGAAGGACCTTGTCTTTGTTTACCACCATATCTCTTAGCACATAGAGAACTCTGGCACATAGAAAGTGTTCCACAGTTACTGGCAAGTAAATAATCCGTATATATTCCTTGGTCTTTCATCAGAAACAATCTAGTAAGGAATACAGACAAGTTAACAGCCAGTTACAGTATAATGCATTGTCTTATATTTACAACCCTCTAACAAATCCTCAGTTCAAAAATATTTTTCAACTCATTTTTCCTTGAGTTCATTCCCTTCTTGTGCAGCTGCTTGCCTTGCAAGTTTCTCCCATTTTATCTAAATCCTACTTGTCTCCACTTATCTGAATCCTACTCTTCCTTCAAGACAGAACTCCAGCCTGATTTTCTAGATGAAGCCTTTACTCACCATTTCAGATCCACATCCATCTCTTCCTCTGGACTCCTCTTGAGCCTAGTGTTCACTTGCCATTTAATCTTATGGAATGTTAAATTGCTACTGACATTTTCAGTTGTATATACCTTGCACTCCCAAGCATACTGGAAGTTTCTCAAGTGCATGAATCTTGGTTTATACTTCCCCCCATTGTTTCCATTTTCTGCCATAAAATTCTATACGCAGAGTTTGACTGTTGATTATTTAGCCTTCAAATAAACTCATTCTACCTTTTCCATTTACAGGTTTGAGCTTCCTGGAGATGGAAACCCAAATATGAAATGTGCTTACTTTCATCATGGGAAAATCCACCCTTCCTCCTGTAAGAACAGACATTATCTCGTGTGTGAGCGGAAGGCTGGGATGGCAAAGGTGGACGAACTGCTTTAATGAACGAGATGAACAGGCCACAGACAGATGATTGATTGTCCAATAAAAAGTCTTGATGAAAGAATCACGAGCCATCAAATTCCTTATTTCTCCCTTTCGTCACCATGGAGCCATCTTTACAATCTTTGCTTCCAACATGACTTAACCTTTTCTTTATACATACATAAGTCAGCTCTATGAGGCGATCATTTGCTTTCCAACTGTTCTGCTGTCCATTAATTTCCTTTCTTCTTGTCTTCCATTCCTGATTATCTGGACTTCCTATGTTTCATCCTATCTTCAGGCATAAACATATAAAATTAAACTTGGAACAGGAAAGGTTAGGGCTTAATTGACTTAAGCTAGGAAAGATGTCTACGTTGGAAAGAAAGACCGCATAAGGTAGTGGGAAGAATACCAAATTGGAAATCAGTAGAATAGTTTAGATGGTGTGGTCACTTAGCTGAAATATGATCATGGATTAGTCATGTAGCCTCTTTAACTTCCATCCTCACATATTTAAAATTGGATGTAACTCTGTCTTATGTTCCTCGCTATTCTAGAACCTAAAATAAAGTTTCTGAGTGTTAACCATACAAGACGCTCTGTGAAGCAAACGCCGTGACTTTCTTATTCACTATTCTGTATCCAGCACCAAACATAGTTCCTGGCTTACAGGCAACAGAACAAACATTTGCTTCTAATTAATGAGAGAATTCACTAGAAATTATCTCAACCAGTAAAAGCACTGTACAAATACAATTCCAATTCCAAGTTCATCTCTGCTCAGACTCAATAGGAATAATTTTCTGTGCAGAAGGAAAAAGAAAGTTTGTAAGAAATCTCGTGGTGTTTGTAAAATGAGTAAATGCTTCTTAACAAGGTCTGCGGACTAGTAGACAGGATAGCAAGTAAAAACATTTTATCAAGACCCATGGGCTAGTAAGCGGAGGAGCAAGTAAAAATGCCTTATCTTGTTCTTTTCCTAGCAGTTTTATCCTTGGGTTTTGCTGAATGACTCAGAAAGTATTTATAGACCATGCTGAGAGACACAGTTGAACAGGATAACAGGCAAACAATTGCATTTCTTACCCACAGATGCCCGGACAGTGATGTCTTCTTGCACTCGTGGGATGAAAATTTATAGAAATGATTCTCAAACATCTCAGCTGAGATGTTTGTTAAAACTTGCAGATATCCACATACAACTAAATACCGATGGTACACAATCTGAAGACTGAGAAGATCCAGAGACTTGGGTAATTCACATGCACTCCGCATGATTTTGATATAAATAGTCTTTAATATATTCCAAGAAAAACTACTTTAGAACTTGCTTCCTATGTGACTTTAGGTAATTTAGCCTCTTTAAACCTCAATTTCCTTATCAATGAGTTTCATATTATTACCTTGCTCATAACGCTACGGAGCCGTGGTGGAGCAGTGGTTAAGAGCTAGACGGCTAACCAAAAGGTCAGCAGTTCAAATCCACCAGTTGCTCTTGGAAACTGTATGGGGCAGTTCTACTCTGTCCTCTAAGGTTGAAATGAGTCAGAATCAATTCGACGGTGCCGGGTTTTGTTTTGGCTTTCACAAGGCTATCTTGAAGATCACTTCAGATAATTACACAGACCATCGAGCAGAATATGAAGCATGTAATGAAAACTCAATAAATATGTGTTCCTTTTATAGTTTTGTGCACTAATACCCAAAGACGCTCAAAAGAATCTGTATTGTGTTTTAGACTATCAGTAAACAAGCAGATTTGGGGGTCTGAGGAAAAATAAGAGAAATATCTCAGATTCTGCCGGCCACTTCAAATGACTAAAGACCTTGGCTTTTGGGGAATGGTATTGTTACTTCCTTCTTTTTAATTGTTCATTTAGTGAAACCAAATAAAAATCCATTGCCGTGAAGTCAGTTTTGACTCACAGTGACCCTACAGAACAAAGAACTCCCTCACAGGGTCTCTGAGACTAGAATCTTTACCTCCAAGCAGACTGCCGCATCTTTCTCCCACCGAGCAGCTGGTAGGTTCAAACCACCAACCTTTTGGTTAGTAGCCGAGTGCTTAACCACTGCACCACCAGGGCCCCTTAGTGAAACAAAACAGAAACTAGTAATTTAGAAAGCTTCCCCAAAATCAGCCATACCTCTGGACTTCAGTGTTTCATCCCCCCAAAATAGAAACACGTATCTTTATATATCACACATGGCCCAAAGATATTTGGAAGAATGGTGTCTTAATGCATGGCAAACACTCAGCTGAAAGCAAAAACCATACACCAAAAGAATTGTGCCTGTAAAGCCTCTTTTCTGCTACTCATAGCTAAGGCGTCTTCTACATGAAATTACAACAGCACAGAAGTTAACAGCACAGGTTATGGAATCAGACTGCCTAGTTTCAAATACTAATTCCGCCATTCACTAGGTATGTGAACTACAGTAAATAACTGACTTCTCTATGTCTCAATTTATAACTGCATCACACTATACTAATAATAGTACCCACTTCATAGAGCTGTTGTGAGAATTAAAATAATTCATTTGAACACCGTTGAAATAGTACATGAACTGTAATGAACAATAAATACTAGGAATCGACTCCACGGCAACGGGTTATGATTACCGAAGTCCTGGTAGCACCCTGGTTGAGAGCTCAGCGGCTAACCGAAAGGATCAGCAGTTCAAATCCACCAGCCGCTCCTTGGAAACCCTGTGGGGCAGTTCTACTCTGTCCTACAGGGTTGATATGCGTTGGAATTGACTCAAGGGCAGTGGGTTTGGTTTTAGTATGATTAACATATTCACGTTTTTATTGGAAGAGTCCAATGTTCCCTCAGAAATTTATCAGACAGCCTACTGTCTTGGAAAAATCTAGTCTTTCTGGGCCTGATTTTTAGTGCTAGTAAAATTTGAGAACAACTGGGAACTAACAACTTGCAGAACTTCTGTTTCCATCTTCCTGATATTAGTCTCCGCGAGCATTTGATAGGATTACGACCACTTCTCCTTTTTTCTCTCCATAGAAATGATCCTATTTGAAAGGCCTTAGAGAGTTAAGACGGAGCCCCGGTGGTGCAATGCTGAAGCTCTAGGCTGCTACCTGAAAGATGGGAGGTTGGAACGCAACGGCCGCTCCGGGGAGAAGAAGACTTGGCTCTCTGCTTCCGTAAAGATGACAGCCTAGGAAACCCTATGGGGCAGTTCTACTCTGTCCCATGGGGTCGCTATGAGTCAGAACTGACTCGAAGGCACACACCAACAAGTGAGTTAAGGTGCACTGTGTTTTAGACCAGAATCTCAGTCACATGAAAATCACATGAAATATTTGGAGAATGTGCTGGATACTCTCCATGTGGAGGGTGCTAGATCCTCTCAGCCCTACCCTGTGCCTTACAAGCCCCAACTAAAATGAACAGCGGTGCCTGGGCCAGCCAATGGGAGGCACTGGCAGGGGATCATAGGGTGGGAGGAGAAAGAGGTCAGGGTGTTTACTTCCTTGGGTTTCTCCCTGCACCGTGCTTCAGGTTGGCAAAGGCTGCATTATCTGTACCTTAGGCCACAATCCCTGTCGGGCGGGTCCTCAACCATGCTCCTCATGATGTTCCAGTAACCACCCTCCTCTTGATCCTTCAGGCCTAGGGGTGATACCAACTTCCCAATGTATATTTCACCATCCCTTGTAGGTTCCCTTAACCCTTGCCCCAACTTTATAAACACTCCCTTTATTAAATGCCCTTAGATCACCCCTTGAGTGTTCCATCTGCTTCCTTCTGGGAACCTGACTGTTGTAAAGAAAAATGATCCATCCAGTGAGACACGGAAACAAAAGAGAACATTACAATGTTGCAGATTGTTGGGACTTGCAGATTCTACATTATGAAGACATGACCTTCGTCCATAAGGCAAAATATGAGTGATGATTAAAGCATTAGAGTTCTCAATACTTCTGCCACAGGATGTGGCAGAGATGGCTATACAGCCCCTAAATAGTTCATACTTACCTTCTAGAGTAAAGTTGTCACTGAGAGCTTGTTGCCCGGGCAGAGGTTACAATTTTCAGGCCCCACTTTTATAGCCAAATATGCGCATGCATTGGTATGGACAAGGATGTGATGCATGTCACTTCCAGGTTATAGCTTTCATTCTCCACTTTCTCTTTTTCTTTTCAGTGGCTTGAAACAAGAGAACTCCAATGTCTCATAAAATGGAAGGAGCCTGGAGGAAAATTACCAAGTGACCAGGATTACTGAAGTTAAAATATTATATGAGTGAAAAGCAAACTTGTATTGTGTTAAGCAACTGACATTTTGAGGTTTATTTGTTATTTCAGATTTATTTATTTATTCATTATTTATCATAACCTTAACTAAAATACCACCAGTTGCCAGTTTCAACTCATGGCGACCCCATGTGTGTCAGAGTAAAACTGTGCTCCATAGTGCTTTCAGTGGCTGATTTTCCAGAAGCAGATCACCAGGTCTTTCTTCCGAGGTACCTCTGAGTGGACTTGAACCTCCAACCTTTCAGTTAGTAGCCAAACACACTAACCATTTGTACTACCCAGGGACTCCCAATTAATATACAGTATATAAGCTTATTTTAGGGGTAAAATCCCTTCCTAGCTTTCTTGTTTAAGGATGTAGAGTGATCTTCAGTTGCTTACACCTGGTTGGCCAATGTGAGCTATCCACATACTTTCATTGTATATGTCATCCCCTTGCTTTATGTCCTGTACCAAGTACAAGTGCATTATTTGTGCTTCTATCCTTTTCATCTTAACTGTAATCCAGTCCTGTTACCTTCACCATCTGCTGCGTTTTGGAAACCAGAGCTATGATATATTCTGTCCTTGGCCATTTTGAGTTCAGTTTCTTTCTCATTTCCTCGTTTACTAAGTTATGTTTTGGACTAAACTTCATAAACTTCCACTTTCTGGATGAAGATTCATCTGTTCTACTCCTTAACCCCAAACATATTCACCTACTATGTGGAAAAACTAGCCAATTTCAGTTCTTCCACCAATCTGCTCCTGACCACAAGAGCAGTTACTTGTCTCAGCCTTTCCCATAGCCGCCATACCTATCAAAGCATTTCAGACATGCAGGGGGAGGAAATCTATACCCCTCTTCAGTGGGATAATCCATCACCAAACCACTATGAAGAACCTCTGTCTTCCAACAAATGTTCTGGTAAGCAGTTCTAGTTATTTACTCTAAGACTGAAATTTATGTTTTGCTTTGTTTCGGTCCAGGATGAGCCCAAGAGGGTTTTTCTAATGTGAGACAATACACTTAATAGAATTAGAATGTGCATGATATTCTATCATATAAAAAAATGAAATGAAGTAGAGGAGGAATAAGTTAAGGTGAAAAAGGGAAAGAACAATAGAATTGACAAATACCTGTTGCTTTTTTTTCTTTCTCTCTCTGGAAAGGACAAATCATTCCTGGATTTGGAAAATAAGTGAAGGAAATCATATATTTTTATTATTTTACCTCCTGCATAAAATACCCCAGGGCTATTTGGTAAACACTAAGAAGTAAAGGCGGGAAAAAAAAAGTGAAAACCTGGCAAAAATCTCATTGGTTTGGTATTTTCTGCTGTAGTGATCAGTGCTGTGTTTGTTATTTAATATCTGTGTTGGGTTTGTATTGCTGCTGTAACAAATTACTAGAAACTTAGGGGCTTTGAAAAAACACAGACTATCTTAGAGTTCTGGAGGTCAGAAGTCCAAAATGGGTTTCACCGGACTGAAACCAAAGTGTCAATAGGGCTGTGCTCCCTTGGGAGGGAGGCTGTAGGGGAGAATCCATTTCTTTGTTTTTTCCAGCATCTATAGCTGCATTTCTCGATTTTCCTGGCTCTTGTTCTCTTCCTCCACCTTCACAGCCAGCAGTGACGGCACAGCATTTCCACATCTCTCTCTGCTTCTCTCCTTACTCCGCCTCTGTCCCTCTAACCTCCTGTCTCCAAGAATCCAGGTAATTCACAATAATTCCCCATCCTACAGTCCTTAACTAAATTACATCTTCAAAATCCCTTTTGTACATAAATTAAGTTTTTGTAGATTAGAGCATGGACATCTTAAAAACCAAACCCACTGTCTTTGAGTTGATTCCGACTCATAGCAACCCTACAGGACAGAGTAGAACTTCCCCGTAGGGTTTCCAAGGCTGTAAATCTTTACGGAAGCAGACCGCCACATCTTTTTCCCGGAGAAGTGGGCTGGTGGGTTTGAACTGCCAATCTCTGGGTTAGCAGCTGAGCGCTTAACACCATGCCATCAGTCTTTCTTATAAACCTCTTGGGGGGCCATTATTCAGCCTACTACAATATCCAAAGATAACTTTGATCTATTTTGTTCTGAATAGTGTTAAGAATAAAATTAATCAGGCATTCTTAATTCTTCCTTTCTGAGTCATTGCAAAATTAGTTGGAAAAAAATATCCTTCAACCAAAAGTGTATACTTAAAAGAAAGTATCTTTGAAGGGATCATGTTCAAGGGATACTGAAAACATGTGGGGAAATGTAAGGCCGCTTTCTTGCTTTCGGAAACTAAATCTTGTGAGAATCGCTGAAAGATTGTGGGAAAAGAACATATGTAAGTAGTTAATAAGGCTGTGGTGTCACACATAAAGACGAGAGAAACTTTGTTATTAACCCTGTCCAATTTAGCATTTTTCCACATCAAATATATTCCAAGATATAATTTGTATTTTAAAGAGTTTGAGTTAAAGGCTCTCTTTTTCCTCTTACTTCCAGTTACAAATTCGAGGCCTCAGTAATTCTCCAGTTGGGATTGACGTTGCATTCCTGCTTTTAGTCACCCTCATTGTAACCTGACCCTTTCCGTCCATCTACCTTCTTTAACTCAATTTAATGATCTCTGTTCCGTGTTTAGGAACATGGTGTCTTGTGGTGGTGATTTCATGGATTTTCTGCATGGGCTCATTAACAGCTTCCATTTTCTTGGGCATCAAGTGTAAGTACAAAAAGATCTTTTAAAAATAATATATATATGCAGATATACAGATACAGGTATTATGCATAACTGTATATAATTATAGATGTATCTCATTAGATATAAACTTTCTAATTTAAAAAGGAGGATGAATAAATCCATTAAGAAACATCAGAATGCGTGTAAGTGATATAAAACAATGGCTTCTTAATTTATAGAACTTTTATTAGCTATAACTCTCTGGGCATTTAGATGCCACTGATAACTTTCAGTTATCAATGGCCTGTTGTGAAAATCGAAACTAATGCCGTATGTCTCTTTGGGACAAATACTACAAATTATTATTTATACACTAGTTCAATTTATGGGTCTTGTTAGCATGCCAAAGCATGAAATAAGAAAAATTTCAGCATACACTCTTTTATTTCTAATATGTATGTATATAATATGTCAAACTTACCTTATGCAGATCATTTAATAAGACTGTTTCATGTTATATTAGACAAGGTGCAATTTTAAAATGTTTGATGCAAACTTGAGAGCTTTGTTTGAGCCCGGTTTGACTATATTTCTTTACTCTCTTAAGTCCAAATTAGAGATGTGTTTTGATATCAGGCAAGTAAAAATTTTATATGGAAATAATCACAGAGCTACAAATTCCAAGAAAAGGACTAAGAATGTCTATTACAACTCACATTACCACTAAGAAATATGATTAAAAAGATAGAGATGAAGGCTACTGTATGGAAGATTCTCCTTTCTTGTATGCCTTGGCATTAGCTGACCAAGAAGAATTATGAGCTCTGAGAATGAGGAAAAGTGCAAATTTGCTTCCATCAAGTACAAGATGCTTCATCTTGTTTATGTAATGCTATGCGATTTATTTTCCTGATGGTTTGCAGAGGAATGTTTTAAGAATTACTAAGAACTCAATAAATAACTGTTCTTGTCGATCTAGCCCCTCCCCAGTATCCCATAGCCCAGCTGAAATGTTAGAACTTTGAGGAAGCTTTCTTTTATCACACTCCATCCTCTTCCTGTGCTTTATCAAGAATTTTTAATCAAATACTAGTACCATTTTTTTTTTAAAGAAACACATTAAACGTGTGTTTGCCAAACAAGAATGCTGGAGGCATATTTGCATAGTTGAAAGAGAAATAACAGATAAGCCATTTAACATCAATAATCCAGTTTCTTCTGTAAACACTGGGCACTTTTAATGAGCTATTGCCAAACTCCCTTCTAACTCTACAATGCAAGAATCCATATTTCACTTGTACTACAAAATATCAAAAGATATGGTTTAAATATGGATTCTATGTAATTAATTTAATCTTATTTTACCAGTATCCATTACTCAGGGAAAGAAGATAAAAGAAACAAAAGTACAGGTCGTCCCTGACTTACGATGGGGTTACTTTGAGACAACTCCTTCATAAGTTAGTGTTGACATAAGTCAAATACCTCTTTTTTTAAAAAAAATTTCATTATTATTGTTTTTTTATTATCGGTTATCTTTATAAATCTGATCTTTATTTGCCTTTGGGTGTTGGAAACATTGCATATAAACTTACAGATATGTTTTAATATGTATAAACATAATTAAAAATACACAAATCATAGAAATTTACTCTGATGAAGAAGAGTTGCACATTATTTTAATACATATATGCATACATTAAAACATACAGAAACATAACAATTTACTCTGATGATGAAGAAGGGTTGGACAACATTAGGATTTTGTCAGTTGTGGTAATAACTCCACTTGAGGAAGATTCTGGATCATCTAGATTACCCCTGGGAATGGGGATGGCATTTCTAGTCAGAAAATGAGTGACAGCTGTCTATATGCCCCTTTTCTGTTTTTCTTCAGATATTTCATGGTAACATCTCACTGCTTCCCCAATCTGCCTATGGACTTTAGCAAAGTGATCAGCGTTTGGTTCTGTGTTTTCAAGCAACTGAAGCCCTTGATTTAGTTTAGAGAAGACTTCCGCTAATCCTTTCACTGTAAAATGTTTTGACAACTTCTCCCCTTCCTCTTCCTCATTCTTTCTTTCCTCTTCAGCCTTGTTTTCCTCGTCGAAACCCATTAAGTCCTGATCTATCAATCCCCCTTCTTCTGATCTATGAGCTGTTCTACATCAGCGATATCAACTTCTAAATTCAGCCTTCTTGCCATCTGGCGATTATGCCAACGATTTCTGTCGTCATATTACCCTGATCAAATACCTGGAGCGTGTTCACTTAATTCAGCAATTTTTTCCAAGCCCTCTGCTTGCATTTTCCCATAACTTCCTTCCAGGAAGATGCAATGTTCTGGATACACTGAAGAATATTATAATTTTTCCAGAAATCAAGCAATGTTACTGTACCTCCATATGTTGCAGCTATTGCCTGAGAAAATATAGTCCATGGGTAGTATGCCTTGAAAGTGGAGATGCACCTTGATCCACAGCCTGAATCACAGCTGTCCTATTGGGAAGTAGATACACCACTTTCACATCTTGATTTATATCATCCAGGCATTCATAAATGAGGTTCCTCATAATTCAAATACATTGTAACTCAGAGACTACCTGTATAAAGAACACTTCAAATTAAAAACATTATGGCAGATGCAATACACCTTAAAGTAATATTGTAAAGTGAATGGGATATACAATTTGTTTTTTTTATGAAAACAAATCCATAGTCTCCAATTACCAATTATTATACATCCAAAAGGCTGATTTTGTTGTTGTTGTTGTTTGGGGCTGAGTCTTACAAATTGGAGAGAAAAAACCAAAATGATACCTATTTATTTGCAGATACCAGAAACCCAACTTAAAAATTACAAAGTATATAATCATACACTGCATAGAAAAGGAAATACAACTGGTACATTCAGATATATACGAAAAAAGGTAAAATATCAATCATAAAGCAAGAAATGCAAATTACAATGATATTGAGATATCATTTGCAAATATTACATTGGCAAAGGTCAGAGAATTAAGAGTGTCCTTAGATGGCGGGGATTACTACAACATATAACCCGAAAAAAAAAACCCGTTGCCGTCAAGTCGATTCTGACTCATAGCGACCTATAGGACAGAGTAGAAGTGCCCCATAGGGTTTCCAAGGAGCGGCTGGTGGATTCAAACTGCTGACCTTTGGGTTAGCAGTCGAGCACTTAACGACTGCACCACAGCATATATAGAGGCTAACTAATATAGCTTAAGTGCCCATAATATTTGACCTAGTCACTTATCTTACAAATACACCCCAATACACTAATACACTTGTGTCAAATTATGTATATCCAAGGTTCTTTATGACATCATTTGATTTTGTAATACCAAAAGATTGGAAATTGTCTAAAAATCAATAGACCAAAACCAAACGCATTGCTGTAGAGTCAATTCCTACTCGTAGTGACTCTATAGGACAGGGTAGAGCTGCCCCATACAGCTTCCAAGTAGCGGCCGGTGGATTCGAACGGCCCACATTTTGGTTAGCAGCCAAGCTCTTAACCACTGCACCAAATCATGATACATCCATACAATGAAACCTTATGCAGCTATTATGTACTCATATGGAATTATGTCCAGAATATATTTTGCGTGATAAAATAAAAGGTGCAAAATTGTGTGAACAGATTGTCACCGTTTGTGCAAAGGGGAAGAGGGCATTTTGCATTCATTTGCTTGCAAAATGCAAAATATCTCTGGAAAGGTAGAAAATAAATTGGTAAACCTAGCTACTTTGAGGGAGTGGAACTGGGTGAATAAAGACACAGGGATGGCAAGGAAGTTTTTTTTGCTATGTACACTTTGTAGCTTTTGATTTTTGAACAATGTGAGTTTTAAACAGAAAAACCTAAAATAATGCAAATTTAAGTCACAAAAATAATCAGGACCTTGTAGTTGACTTTAGTCTACTTGGAAAGACTTGTTTGTTACAACACGTCAGTACTAAGAATGATTGTTACCGTTTGAAGTGTTCCAGGTGTCCACTATTGCAATGGAACAGCAAGAAAAACTCATTCAACAGGACAAAGCATTGTTAAACTTTACGCAGTGGAAGGGAAAGCATGACCTTCAGATGAAATGCTGCCAAACTCTGATGCAAAACTCTTCCAGTTCAGGTAATTGACGTAAAATCATTTTCCACTGCAGATTCAAATGTATGCACCAATTCTTCATGAAGAACAGTGACACACACATTTTATTCTCTGCAAAGTTGTTAGCCAGGGTTTTATAACAGGAGAGAAATAATTTTGATGCACTCTTCAGCTCAACTTGATTCATATCTCCTTCTGCATGTAGAAAACACTGAGGTTCCAAGAAATGCAGAGGAAGAAAATATACCAGAACATGTGCCGACAATTGCCAAATTGGACTTTGTGTGATTAGTAGGTCAGAATTAAAACAAAAAAAGCAACATTCTGTGTTTGAATCCAATCACTCAAGTTTATAAGCTATCTTTAATTCTAGCTCCAAATTTCCCAGTATTTCTAGCTTAGGTATTGCTTTAGATTCAAGGTTAGGTAACTCTTCAAACAGAACATTTATTTTTAATTTTAGAGCATTTACTATAAAATTATTATAACATAATGCAGGATTCAGTGTTTTTTTAATCATATAAAGTCATTTCAGTTTTATCTTTTAAATCCCTTACAACCATTGTAAACCTAAAGCAGTCTATTTCTTCCCGTTGTATAGTTTATGAAGTATGCTATGGCTACTCAGTCGGAAAATTAACTTCCGTTCAGGGTGTATCATTTAAGTAATCTCCAGTGACAGATGTTAAGAAAAAAAAAAGTTGGAGCAGTAAGATTAACCAGTATAAAAAAATAAACAAGTAAGTGAAGCCTATAAAAGATCTAAACTCAAAAAAAAGAAGGCTTAATTGAAACTGCAATCATCAGATCATCTTTTATTGAAAAGGGAAGATTTGGCTGAAGCTTCTCAAGTTAATTTTATCTTAAACGGATTCTTAGAGACCTGTTACAGTTAAGAATGATGATGTAAATCTTACTATATTCCGCTTCAGAGAAACTGTGTTACGTGTGCATCACGGGGACCATTGGGTTGGGGTGTGCAGCTTCCTTGAGGATGATGCAAGAGTTCATTTTGAGAAGAACTGTTACAGTTATTCCTATAATGATAATAGTAAAATAAAATGTTTATATTCAAAGCCCGTAACTGCAGCCCTTGTCCAGACAACTGGATTCAGAATGGGGAGAGTTGTTACTATTTCTTTGAAAAGTGGAAGTTTTGGAACCAGGGTAAAGAAGATTGTTCCAAGGAGGACTCCAGGCTTCTACAAATAGACAGCAAAGAAGAAATGGTAAACACTGGTCAGGGGGCCTCCCATCATTCGGAAAATACCAAGTTAAGCATTGAAAGAAAGCACTGATTCTCATGAGATAGAATTTCTTAATATTCTTAACAGTAGCGTATTTGTTGAAATAAAGGTTTAAATGAGATGAATTAGTATAATTTGTTTTCCTTTTAATGTGGGGAAAAAAACTAGATAGTTATCCAGAAACAAAGGAGACCATGTTAATTCTGTGTCCTTTGTTAATAAAAAAAAGAGGGGGAGCGTAAAGGAGTATAATGTGGTGTCATGCTAATGCACTCCAAAATATACATACATTATAATTTTATATGTGTTTTAAATTTATTCCATTCAGTGCTGTACGTAAGTGTAATAACCTATAACAATCTTGTAATTATGAAAGAAAAAAAGGGACAAAAAAGTGAGGTGACATCATGAAATGAATAGGTCTATAAAAATGAGCATTTTTTAAATAAAATGTTTAGTAGACATTAAACCTAGTTTATTTAACAAGTGAACGATAACATATTTCTTTGAAATCATTTTTGCCCACAAGTATGCATGAAATAGAATTCATAGTTACACATTTGTGACAGTGTTAGAAATATATGCCTATGATACTCAGAAATTAGTTGAAATTCATTTCTGTAAGTAGAAGCGGGGCGCTATTAAAGATAGCCAGTAAACCAAGGCAACTTGAATGAACATTTTACAATTATGGGTTTGATAATGTTTCTTCTAACAAAATACATTCAGAGTCAAGTTGCTTCTGGAATGTCCTATACTATTTCCTGTATTGTCGTATAGTGAGAATGAATAATCCATGTGATTCTGTGAGGCCAAGGGCGGTTTTACTTCTCCTGATAATGAGAGTTCAGTACAGCATTTACCTTTATTGACGTATTCTACCTGCTGAACTCTCAATCTCTTAACAGTATTTTAACACAAACAAACAAACATTGCCGCTGAGTCAATTCCGACTCATAGTGACCCTATTGGACAGAGTAGAACTGCCCCATAAGGTTTCCAAGGAGAGGCTAGTGGATTCCAACTGCTGATCTTTTAATACCAGCTACCAATTTTTTCCATAAATACCACATTGATCATATAGCAACAGAAAAGAATCTATAAAATGAATCTGTCTCTCTCTTTTTTTTGTAAAGCTCTCTCCTCCTTCTCTAGCTTCACGTTTCCATTACTTTCTGTCTAGGCAAAATGTCACACTTTATATATCACAGTAGTTTTTTGTTTTTTCCTCCTCAGTTCATGATTCAGGCCTTGTTTCTTATAGGATTTTATCACTGACATCTTATGGAAGACCAAAAAAGACTCCCATTACTGGGTGGGACTGTTTCAGGATGTACTCGGTGGACCTTGGCTTTGGCAAGATGGCTCCTCTCTGTCCCCTGACCTGTAAGACTCTAAAAGAAATGTTACAAGAGAAATTAGAAACATGGTAGAGTTCAAAGGCTTATTTTATTTTCCATGCTACATTTCCTCCAGGAGACTTAACCAATGTGGTAATTTTACAGGCTATGGATTATAAAGCCAAGAAATTAAGAGTAGCTTTCTGGCTTCTAAATCTTGCACCTTCTCAGCCTCACTGCCATCCTTCTCTAGAAAATTCTTATAAAAATTTAAGTGCTTAACTGAACAATTTAAGATAGTATACCTTACCAGTTGCCGTCAGTCAATTCCGACCCATAGCGACCCTATTGGACAGAGTAGAACTGCGCCATCGGGTTTCCAAAGAGTGGCTGGTGGATTCCAATCGCTGACCTTTTGGTTAGCAGGGGAGCTCTTAACCATTGCGCCACAAGAGCTCCAATATAGTATAGTTATCAAGTACATTTTCTTTGTTCACTTAATGGCTGAGGAGTGCTAAGGAAAAGAGATTGTGCTAACTATTAAGCAGTTTCCATATTAAACTTTTCAGATAGAGCTGGCGAGATGGATGAGCAGAGTCAGGTGTCTTGTAGTTTAAGAATTAAGAATCAAGAAAGAGACTCTAATTTAGAGCCTGTATTTGTAGAGTCATTTTTATGTGTTTTTGTTGATACTGTATTAAATGAGCCAGAATCAACCTGATGGCAACGGGTTTGGTTATTTTTTGGTTTATATTACATATTTTTAATTGAGAAAAAACAGCTCTGTTGTTGAAGAAGGAGGCTCAAAGCAGCACAGAGGGATGCCAGAATTAAACAAACCAAAAGCTACGCACTTCTCATTAGTTACCACAAGAACATCACTGTAACCCCCATATCTAACCTCAAATATAATACTGATTTGTCTCCACAGGGGGTCAATTCAGAGACTCCAATCAATTAATCAAGACTGTGGATATCTCAAGGAAAAGTACCTTTTTTCAGCTAACTGCAGCAGTTGGAAATATTTTATCTGTGAGAAGTAAGCTTTAGGATCCACTGTTCGAAAGAAATTGTGCTGGAAGCGACCTCTCCTTCAAACAGGCCATTGGAAAACCTGCCTCCAAAAGCCAAAGATCAAGAGCTAAAGTAAACCAATGTGTGGGCTATGAAAACTAATTTAATTTCGCATTTACACTTGGAAATATTCTTTCATCCATTCTAGACTCGCATTTGCCATAACTCACCCTTCCAAGAATAAAATTGATTTAGAGGTACCTGAAGAGTTGAGAGCAAACTGAAGGAAAGTCATTTCCATTTGTCTCTCTCTTTTTTTTTTTTTTTTCCTGAAGTAGCTGTAATCTCCGCATAGAAATCTGTAAGTTGTTGCAGAGATGGTGCAGTTCTAGCTGACTAATATTTTAAAATAAATAAATAAATGTGGCCTTTCAAACTCAGAGTCTGTCAGATCTTTCTTTGATTTTTCTAAGCTTCTACTATGTTATCAAGATAATAAAAAGCGAGTGGGAGGACAGAGATATAGACTTTGAAACTGGAAGGAAGGCAGGCTTCTATCTGCAGCCCGTCGGTTGACTCCCTTTTTGGAATTGCAAAATTCTAGTGGAGAGGCGAACTACTCCATTTCACGGAAGTGGAAGAAATGGTCAGACTGCCAGGATCAGTTCATCCTCAGTAAAGGACAGTTTAAGGTTTTCTTCCTTCCTCTTACTGGCCATCCCCACCACTCAATAATCAAAGGGCTCAAGTTCTGAACTCTCAGTTAACACTACAGCAGTCTTAACTTAGGAGTAGAGTATGTTCGTCCAACAGATACCCTGCCTCCAGCACTCTATTAGTTCTAGGGAGCAGAGAGTGAAGACTGCATCTTCCCTTGAGTTTACCATATAATCAAAGAGAGAAGCATGCAAACATAAATACAACATTGGGTAATGTTGGAGGTATGCCCAGTGCTATGAGAATTCAAGGAAGTGTACTCTAACCTAGACAGATGGCTGCGCTTCCCGTCATCGATACACTGTTAATTAAGCATCTCTGTAGGAGTTTATGTCTGTGATGAAATACAACGAATAACACTCTTAACCTAATGCATTAATTGATATGCATAATCCCTGTTTGGCACATATAATTAAGCCCAATAGGGAATTTGAGGAGCACTCTTGTTGTCATATATAAACAACAGGTGGACCGTAAAGAAAAGCTACTTCACCACTGGTTAATGCAGAGCTGAGAAAAGGCCTTATCTGCAGCCTACCTGACTTCAACTTCCGGAGTTTGTTCAACAGCAAAACTGTCCTTTGAAGGTCAAATACGGAGGAGACTTTTAATTCTAAACTCCCTCTAGATCTGGTCACGTGGACCTTTACCAAAATAATGGAGAAAGCACCATGTAGTTCTCCAGCTACATTTTCTCTCCTCTCATTCCCCATATATATTTTATTCCAGAGGGTGAAGAAAATTGAAGGGTCTAGAAAGACTTGTGTGGAGATAGAGCCAGGGACTTCCTCAGGGAGGAGGGGCATTTTTTTAATAACAATCATCACGACACCAATCATGATTATGCTAATTACAAATATTTCTTGGAAAAAGATGTGATGACACTTTGAATAAATATACTAAGAACATTTCTTTTCAGAAACACATATGATTTTCCAATTTTTCCTTCCTCAGGCTTTCTCAAAATATCAGAACCCAATTAAGGTGCATTTTAAAAATGTAGCTTCCTAGGCTCCATTCCAGATGCATACCATGAGTTTCATAGACACAATTAACTTTGAGAGCCACCAACCTAAGTCAGTGGTTTACAAACTTAAAAAAAAAGTTATTTGAATATTTTCGTCAAAGTAAAGTACACTCTGAAGCCCATTAGGCAAATCGCCAAAAAGTGAGATTTCTAAGATTAGAAAGGGGTGGAGTTTCCTTGGTCCACTCACCAACGTTGGCCCATCAACTATGGCCCTGAAGAGGCTCCACAGATAGGTCCTTCGATCACTAGAAGAAGCTACTGGGAACACCCAGCGTTTTGGAAACCTAGGGTTAAGTGTTGATTCTTTTCTGATTTCTTAGACGATATTTGTGCAGTAATTAAGAGCACAAACTCTCATAACAGACATTATGGGTTCAAATATTAGTTCTGCTACTTACAACATGATTTTGGCAGGTTATTAATCTCTCTGTACCTCAATTTCTTTGCTGTAAAATAATTAGAGTTCTTACCTCAAAATGTAATTTGAGGATTAAAGCACTAATACTTGTAAATTGCTGAGAGTGCTGTCTTGTACAGCGTGAGTGCTGTATCAGTGCTTGCTAATTTTATCTGGAATAACTCTCCAGTCACCTCTAGGCATCAATATTATTTGTGCATTCCAGGTACAAATGACTGTTTTTCCTGCTCATGTTAAGTCATATTGAGAAGATAAAATTTATATGTATTATTTCACCAACCCTCAGGAGAGAATATCTAAACATTAATGAATTAAATAAATCTATATTCTGTAGAAAATCTCTGCACCAGGTTTGTGGTCTACTTGAAGCATAGACTTTCTTGTTCCCAAGAGACAGTGTATACAAAAGTACCTTGTGAACTATGTTGTTGTTGCTAGTTGCTGTCAAGTAGATCCTGATTGTCTTAGTTATCTAGTGCTGCTCTAACAGAAATACCACAAGTGGATGGCTTTCACAAGGGGAAGATTATTCTCTCACAGTCTAGTAGGCTACAAGTCCAAATTCAGTGCATCACCTCTAGGAGAAGGCTTTCTCTTTCTGCCAGCTCTGGAGGAAGGTCCTTGTGATGCCTCAGTCTTCCCTTGGTCTAGGAGCTTCTCTGCACAGGAACCCTAGATCCAAAGGATGAGCTCTGCTCCGGCACTGCTTTTTGGTGGTATGAGGTTCCCATGTGTCTCTGCTCACGTCTCTCTTTTATATCTCAAAAGAGATTGGCTTAAGACACTATCCAATCTTGTAGACCTCATCATAGTGGTAGAGTTTATAACACATAAGGAAATCACATCAGATTACAATACTGGGAATCATGACGCAGCCAAGTTGACAGATACTTTTGGGGGACACAATTCAATCCATGACACCAACTCATGGTGACCCCAGGTGTGCAGAGTAGAACTGCTCCATAAGATTTTCAAGACTATGATCTTTTGGAAGCAGATCACTGGGCCTGTCTTCCAAGGCGACTCTGGTTGGGTTCAGACGACCAACCCTTCAGTCAGCAATCAAGCGCTTAACCGTTTGTGCCACACAGGGAAGAAAAATTAACTAATTATTATTATGTCACTTTTCGATCACTTAAAATCCTTGGAATAACACCTTAGCAAACAGTAGCTTCTCAATAAACCCTTGCTAAATTCAACATAATTTTATCCTCCATTTTAATCCCCCATTTCACACTGGGAGTAGCTGAGACAGGTTAGATTCTCATCTTTCCCTCCTTATAATAAAGACACCACTTAAATGAAGTAAAATAAGCCTAATTCACTAAGGCAGTACAAATCATTTAAATGAATCTGGAAGTCTTTTGTAAAATGTCATCCATCTCTAAAGAGCAGGATCCTTTAAGCAGGGGAAAAGTGTATTTTTGTTTTATCTTTATTTAGCCTTGACAATGAGTTTAAATGGTGGTAACTGTAATAAAGGTCGATTTTTTTTGCTGAACCTGGAAACGAATAGCAAAGTAAGCATAGTATAAGTTGTCTTCTGTTCTTGGCTTCCGCAGGTGGCAGGTGGCAGCTGTACGGAATAACCTGGAGTAGAGGAGAAACAATAGCCGCATTCTGTAGTAAAGAATGTTTGTCTTCAAGGTTCTTCAAAGTATTGTCATGGAGCTATGTTTAGAGGAAGGACAGGAAACGTTTATAATTCTTCTTAGGAAAAGTACAATGAAGCAAAAGGCAAACATCCTTCAGCTGATGTCATTCCCCCAATACATAAGGCAGTAGTTATGGGTCAGGATTTTATCTGTAGCCCAGCTGCATAAGCTCCTACGAATTTCCTCAGTGGCAATACTGCTTTCCAAGCAGATATTACAGCAAGAGATTTTTTTCTCTGCAGGTTGCTTTTGGGCCTGGATAAAAACCAAAAAAAACAAATTACTGCCATCAAGTCGATTCCTTTCCTGGCAACCTCATCTGCTATGGAGTGGAACTGCTCCATTAGGTTTTCTTGGCTATAATCTTTTCAGAAGCAGATTGCCAGGCCTTTCTTCCATGGCATCACTGGGTGGGTTCAAACCACTAACCTTTAGCTTAGCTGTCTAGCGGAAACCGTATGGCCACATTAAGGCTTGTTTCAGGGTAATGGTAAGAGTTCGGTCCTTAGCGCTTGGATAACCAGTTCCATAACTTAGGTCTAGATCCTAATGAATAGGGTATCTTTGATTCATCTCATTGAGTTCTGAGTTAGCTTTAAAAAGGGGGAAAGAAAAAGGGGAACAAAGAATTCTTACAAATGTAAAGAAGTTTAAGATACTTTCAATGAATAAAAAGAAAAAAATGTTCGAATAATACTGAGAATAATAATAATAAATATTACTAGATTCTAAAAGTCTATTCATAAAGTGAACTTTGTAAAAAAAGTCATGTACACTTTATATTACATTGCTTTTTGTTTTCTTCAAAAACTGTAAGACCTCCTCTACAGAGTATTTGACTCCTAAATGTCAAGGCTGACCCTCAGACAACCTACTCAGCTCTTTTCCTCAGTTTATAATCTGTGTGCGTCCCCAAATAAAAGCTCCCAATCACATGTCTCACATTTCCTGCTGCTACAGGGCTCATGACTTGTTTCCTGTTGATAAATCCTGACAGCTTGTTCAATATCCTCAGGAAAGGAAATAGCTCACTACATGCCCTGGGGAACTCAGCTCTACCAGGAAAGGCTGTGCTCCTCCTTTGACTTTTCCTGCAATTTCTTCAGAATTACCTGCTATGCACGCAAGCCTAGAAGAGAAAAAGTTCTTCCATCTGATAAAACCAGTTCATGCAATGCTGCCTGATCTGATTCTCAACGGAAAGTTGCTCTCGGGAAATAGTATTTCCAAAGTCATTTTATGATTTTTCCTATTCTAATAATAATAATCATGTTTGGGGGAGACAAAGTTGTACCATTCTCCTTTTTTGCTCTTTTGAAATATTTGCTCACACTGTGACCATGTTGTTAGTTTTGCTATCCAGGTGAGAGGATTGAGGGCAATGATTCTGAAAAGTTAGCTCCAGAATCCTAAACATATCAGATAAATGCTTTCTTTCTTGTCTTCCCTTTCTCACCACCTAAAGTGACACTGTCCCTTAGGTCCCAGATTTTGGAGAGAGGATGCTATTCAATACCCACCCTGCAAGCAGTTGGACTCTTCAGGGCAGTTGGCATTTAAAGTGACACTTGTCATCCATCCCTGAACTGGTGTGCAAATATATCGGAGGCCGGAGGCCAGAAACTTAAAGAGTACTATGTCCTTATTTTACAACAGTCCACAAAGTCATTTTTAAAATGGAAAATTTAACTTTTCGCATTAACCGTGTTTTCTTTCTGCATGGAGCAAGGCTTAAATAACAAACACATAATTAAAGGCTTAATCCTCATTTATTGTTACATGTCTATTATATTAATCATTGAACATCTACACTCATCATAGAAAATAATTTTATGATCGTCACACACACACACACAATATAGATGCCTCTCTATAATTTGTTATGAGCACAGGTCTCTAAAGAAGGTTGTTTATGCATATTTGTGCTCGCCTACCTTTAAAAATGAAACACTAAATTCTCTTCCTTTTTTTAAATACTTTCTCAACATTTTTACATTTTACATTGCACTAAATATGTTATGAAAATAATTTCACATTTACCTCATTTCAGCTAACTGTAACACTGTGAGGAAATTATAAATATTTCCACTTTCTACTTAAGGAAATATGCTCAGTGAAGTAAAGTTATTTTCCCAATCAGTAAGGCAGAATACCAGGTCTAAAACGTTTGTCTTCTCTCCCTTAATGCAGAAAAAGCAATTACATAATAAATCAACACAGAATTTGTTTGACACTGAAGAAACTGCCTAGCTGATCTGTAGAAGATAAAACTGAAGGAAAGGTCTCAGGAGAGAAGTCTGCAAGTAGTAACTTATAAGTAACCTAGTCTTATGAAAATAAACACAAAGAATCCTTTTTATCATATTTTTCTTGTTGTCATTTCACTACAGGATAGATGTTTACTGAAAATGAAACTGAAGCAACCCACTTTCCACTGTTGCAAAGTAAAGACTGTAATGGATTATTCTTTTTAATGTTACACCCTTATAATCAATTTATCTACAAACCAGTAAAGTCAGTGGTTCTGACAGTACCTTTTGCAATGACCTCTGTCGTATTTGTGCATATCATCCTCCTGGGAAAGGAGTGCCTAGTGGAGCTCAGCTATTCTGATATCAGAATCTCTCTTTCACTTTCCATGAGCCTGATTGGAAGTCATTTGTCCTATTGCAACTCAGTTTACTTGCCTTCAGCCATGTGTTGATGCCATAAGCTTTCCTCAAGGGATTTCATTTTAGCAGAGTGTTAAAATTGTTCCCTTGAAGACAATATGTATGTCAAAGAACCTTTTTCCCTAATTAATCAGTATTTTTGTAACATTCCCCACGTGTCTGTCAGTTTGTCGTAGTATGGGGGCTTGCATGTTGCTGTGATGCTGGAAGCTATGCCACCAGTATTCAGACACCAGCATAGTCACTCATGGTGGACAGGTTTCAACTGAGCTTCCAGACTAAGACAGACTAGGAAGAAGGACCCAGCAGTCTACTTCTGAAAAGAATTAGTCAGTGAAAACCTTGTGAATAGCAGTGGAACATTGTCTGACATAGTGCCGGAAGAGGAGCCTCCCAGGTTGGAAGGCACTCAAAAGATAACTGGGGAAGAACTGCCTCCTCAAAGTAGAGTCGACCTTAATGATGTGGATGGAGTAGTTTTGGGACCTTCATTTGCTAATGTGGCACGACTCAAAATGAGAAGAAACAGCTGCAAACATCCTTTAATAATCGGAACCTGGAATGTACAAAGTATGAACTTAGGAAAATTGGAAATCGTCAAAAAATGAAATGGAAAGCATAAACATTGATATCCTAGGCATTACTGAGCTGAAATGGATTGGTATTGGCCATTTTGAATCGGGCAATCATATGGTCTACTCTGCAGGGAATGACAACTTGAAGAGGAATGGCATAGCATTCATTGTCAAAAAGAACATTTCAAGATCTATCCTGAAGTACAATGCTGTCAGTGATAGGATAATATCCATACGACTCTAAGGAAGACCTGTTAATAAGACTATTATTCAAATTTATGCACCAACCACTAAGGCCAAAGATGAAGAAACTGAAGATTTTTGACAGCTTCTGCAGTCTGAAATTGATTGAACATGCAACCATGATGCATTGATAATTACTGGTGATTGGAGTGCAAAAGTTGGAAACAAAGAAGAAGGATCGGTAGTTGGAAAATATGGCCTTGGTGATAGAAATGATGCCAGAGATCCCATGATGGAATTTTGCAAGACCAACGACTTCTTCATTGCAAATATCTTTTTTCACCAACATAAACCGTGACTATACGCATGGATCTCGCCAGATGGAATACACAGGAATCAACTCAACTACATCTGTGGAAAGAGACAACGGAAAAGCTCAATATCATCAGTCAGAACAAGGCCAGGGGCCGACTGCGGTGCAGACCACCAATTGCTCATATGCAAATTCAAGTTGAAACTGAAGAAAATTAGAACAAGCCCACAAGAGCCAAAGTAAGACCTTGAGTACATCCCACCTGAATTTAGAGACTATCTTAAGAATAGATTTGACGCGTTGAACACTAATGACCAAAGATCAGATGAGTTGTGGAATGACATCAAAGACTTCATATATGAAGAAAGTAAGAGGTCATTAAAAAGACAGGAAAGAAAGAAAAGATCAAAATGGATGTCAGAAGAGACTCTGAAACTTGCTCTTGAATTTGGAGTAGCTAAAGAAAAAGGAAGAAATGATGAAGTGAAAGAACTGAACAGAAGATTTCAAGGTTGGCTTGAAAAGACAAGGTAAACTATTATAATGACATGTGCAAATACCTGGAGACAGAAAACCAAAAGAGAAGAACATGTTAGGCATTCCTCAAGCTGAAAGAACTGAAGAAAAAATTCAAGCCTCGAGTTGCAATAGTGAAGGATTCTACGGAGAAAAATATTAAATGACGAAGGAAGCATCAAAAGAAGATGGAAGGAATACACAGAGTCACTATACCAAAAAGAATTGGTTGACATTCAACCATTTCAAGAGGTGGCATATGATCAGGAACCGATAGTACTGAAGGAAGAAGTCTAAGTTACACTGAAGGCATTGGAGAAAAACAAGGCTACAGGAATTGACGAAATATCAATTGAGATGTTTCAACAAATGGAACAGGGCTGGAAGTACTCACTCGTCTATGCCAAGAAATTTGGCAAACTACCTGGCCAACCGACTGGAAGAGATCCATATTTATTCTTATTCTTAAGAAAGGTGATCCGAAAGAATGTGGAAATTATCTAACAATATCATTAATATCACACGCAAGTAAAATTTTGCTTAAGATCATTCAAAAGTGGCTGCAGCAGTGTATCGACAAGGGACTGCCAGAAATTCAGGCCAGATTCAGAAGAAGATGTGGAACCAGGGATATCATTGCTGATGTCAGATGGATCTGTGCTGAAAGCAGAGAATACCAGAAGGATGTTTACCTGTGTTTTATTGACTATGCAAAGGCATTTGACTGTTCGGATCATAACAAATTATGGATAACATAGCGAAGAATGGGAATTCCAGAACACTTAATTGTGCTCATGAGGAACCTGTGCATAGATCAAGAGGCAGTTGTTCGATAGAACAGGTGATACTGTGTGGTTTAAAGTCAGGAAATGTTGTATCCTTTCATCATACCTATTCTATCTGTATGCTGAGCAAATAATTCGAGAAGGTGGAGTATATGAAGAAGAACGGGGCATCAGGATTAGAGGAAGACTCGTTAACAATCTCTGTTATGCAGATGACACAACCTTGCTTGCTGAAAGTAAAGAGGACTTGAAGCACTTACTTATGAAGATCAAAGACCACAGCCTTCAGTATGGATTACACCTCAACATAAAGAAAATAAAAATCCTCACAACTGTACCAATAAGCAATATCGTGATAAATGGAGAAAATATTGAAGTTGTCAAGGATTTCATTTTACTTGCATCCACAATCAACACCCATGGAAGCAGCAGCCAAAAAATCAAAAGACGCATTGCATCGGGCAAATCTGCTGCAAAAGACCTCTTTAAAGTATTGAAAAGCAAACATGTCACTTTGAAGACTAAGGTGCGCCTGACCCAAGCCATGGTATTTTCAATCGCATCATATGCATGTGAAAGCTGGACAATGAATAAGGAAGAATGAAGAACTGATGCCTTTGAATTGTGGCGTTGGCGAAGAATATTGAATATACCATGGACTGCCAAAAGAATGAATAAATCTGTCTTGGAAGAAGTACAGCTAGAGTGCTCCTTGGAGGCAAGGATGGTGAGACTAGGTCTTATATACTTTGGACATGTTGTCAGGAGGGATCAGTCCCTGGAGAAGGACATCATTCTTGGTAAAGTACAGGGTCAGTGAAAAAGAGGAAGACCCTTAATGAGGTGGATTGACACAGTAGCTGCAACAATGGGCTCAAGCAGAACAACGATTGTGGGCATGGCTCAGGACCAGGTAGTGTTTCATTCTGTTGTACACAGGGTCGCTATGAGTGGGAACTGACTTGACCGCACCTAACAACAACAACAACTTGTAGTGTTCCCACAAACTCTCTGTAAGGCCAAAGAGCCAAAACGCTGCTGAATGCTATCATGTTCAGCATTCCCACCCTGAATTCTCCCCAGAATCACAAATCTATGTTAAAGTCATACACATTTCACATTACACATATTTATTATTATTAGCTCTTCAGTACCTGCAATGTATAAAAGTGGATCAAATGGAAGAAACGAAGAAGTGAAATCAGACTGTTATTGGTGCACATAAAAAGATTGTCTTTTTTTCTGGTTTGATCTCTTTGAAAGGTGCATTAAAAAAAAAATGTTGCCATTGAGTTTATTCCAACTCATGGTGGCCCCATGTGTGTCAGAGTAGAATCAAGGATCATACAGTTTTTAGTAGAAGACAATAATTCTGATATGGAACTAAATTGAGATGATGTCTTTCCTGGAAGAACTTCCTAGGGAAAGGAAAAAATGAGTGGAGTTATAAATGAACATGGGGAGGTTATGTTAATAAGACATTAAGATTCTCATAAAGAGAGTTAGCCAGGTTGGGAAGCAGTCATAGATATAGCAAAAGGGGGCTTTACTGAAGAAATGAGAAGGGGAAATATCTGAACTGAAACAAACACAACGAATTAGTTATGCATTTGGTAGCACACAATGAGAAATCACTGCTAATTTTTCATGTGCTACTTGACTGTTGGACAAAGGATATTATTTCGTATTTTTTTCTTCCACTTCAGGAAGCTTCTCATTTTTCCAAATATTAAACAGGACATATAAACAGGGAGATGATATTAGATGCTGAGAAGAGGAAAAAAAGAAAGATTACAAGTTTATGGTTTTCTGGGGCTGGTTGGAGGAATACGGTTTTTTTAATCACTGTTAAATAAGTGCGTGAACCCAAGCTCAGAGAGACTGGTCATCCTGACCAGGAAACATGACAGCTGACCCTCCTTGTACCGGTCAGAGAGACTGCCTTTGGTGTTTATTTTCCATTCCCCAGTGTCACAAGAATCCTTCGCATTGGTCTCATTTGTCTTTGTTGGTAGTTGCAGCTGGAGAGTCTATCAGCTCCATCTAAGGGTTCAGGGATGGTAATAGAGCCAGTCGGTCCTCACTACTGTTGCCGTCCTCTCACAAGCACACCGTCGCAACTCATTGCAGTCCTTTGAGAAAGCCTTCCCATTGAGGATGGTCACACAGTCCTTGCTCCTGAGGCAGGTGAAATCTACTACAATGTCAAACCTTAAATAAGAAAAAAAAAATTAATTTAATCACAATTTATCTCTAAAATAAAATATTAAGTACCCAGAAAGTACGTGGGGAATCTTCCTAGGGTGATAAAATTATAAAATAGGTAACCAGAATGAGTTTACTGGGAAGATGGGGTCAGCCCATCAATTTACATGCTCTTTCTTAAAAATAACAAGTTACCCAGGCCAACATAAACTATTTCTAACTTAAGCTAAGATATATGCTCTATTACAACTTATCATATGATTTTCCTGGTATTTGGAAAGTTATCTACCTTCTCTGTGACTCAGTTTACTTAACTGTAACAATAATAATGATTAGATTAAATATTTTCTATCCCCTGGGAGAATAAATGCTGAGTGGTATGTAAAGAAGAAAGGTGTCTAGAAAAGGATGGAATACTCCCAAACTCATTCTATGAAGCCAGCATAACCCTGATACCAAAACCAGGTAAAGACACCACAAAAAAAGAAAATTACAGACCGATATCCCTCAAGAACATTGATGCAAAAATCCTCAACAAAATTTTAGCCATTAGAATTCAGCAACATATCAAAAAAATAATTCATTATGATCAAGTGGGATTTATACCAGGTATGCAGGGATGGTTCAACATTAGAAAAACAATCAATGTAATCCATCATATAAATAAAACAAAAGAACCACATGATCTTATCAATCAATGCAGAAAAGGCAATTGACAAAATCCAACACCCATTCATGATAAAAACTCTCAACAAAATAGGAATAGAAGGGAAATTCCTCAATATAATTAAGGGCATTTATACAAAGCCAAC